AGAATCACTGACCTACAGCTTCACATTATTAAAAGAAAGAAGAACTCTGTAGAAATACTGCGTGAGATGAAACTGATAACCATTGCTATGTGGTGAACAAACTGAGACAAAAGCGTTAACCGGGAGGAACTATGAGACAAAAGCCTTAACCGGAAGGAACTGTGAGATAAAAGCCTTAACTGGGAGGAACTGTGAGACAAAAGCCTTAACCGGGAGGAACTGTGAGACAAAAGCCTTAACCGGGAGGAACTGTGAGACAAAACTACTTCTGACATGTGAATATAGATATGTGAAGAGCAGACTTGTCTTTTCTGCAAATTCTTATTTTATGGAACCAAACTCTTAAAGGTAAAGAAATATCAAAAGTAAATCTAATCAAGTATATAAAGAATATTATGTAATAAACTGGAGCTTCTTGTCTTCATTAAGTGAAAAAATACAGGCATGATAATTCAAAAGAAAATATTAAACAAAGGATTTTATACATTATTTACATTATTCGGACTATTGTCCTCATCTTTGTCGCCATATTTATTACAATGTTTCAGCCGCTGTACACTCCGGCCTTCTTCAGGTGGTTGGAATGTTGAACTTAACCCTTTATTTCGCTCACTGGGGTAGACTGTTCTAGTTCCACATGCCATATTTAATGGATGTCAGTTATCGGTTATCTCCCTATGAAAGTTCTCCACTGCCTTTATCCGGTTATTGAACTCACACTCTTTGGATCCTGTCATTGGATCTAACCAGTGCCTTTATCTACTGTGCCATGTGTCCTCAAAATGTTGTAAAAAATATGGCAACAAAGATGAGAACAATAGTCTGAATAATGTAAATAATGTACATAATACCTCATCTCAGAAATATAGACAGATACTAAAGGATTTTATATAACATTTAATGAAAGAGATTTAAGCAATTTTCATTATTTATTTTTTAATTTTAAGTTAGGTTTTCATCATCTACATGACAACCTAAATTCACACAACAAATTTAATTTCAATAATTACTTTAAGCTCAGCAAGCATTGAACCACATTTGCAGCTTTCAACAAAAATCAAGTATTTTTTAAACTGATTTAGTAGTTCTGTTGTGACCCATTAATAATTATTCTTCCTCAAGGTTTCTGATATATTGGTTATGGCATTAAATTTAAAGTAATCGAAATCTAAATTCCAAGGTAAGTGTTTGTTCCAATCAATTTGGAAATTGAATATTTCTTTGGTAACACAAATTGGGAGGTGCAATTATAAGGATAAAAGGTAGAAAACCATGGCAAATTATACAGGTGCTAACATACTCAATAGTGAAACATTCTTAAGGAAATATAATCTCTATCTATATTTCTGAGATGAGGTATTATGATTACTTACATTATTTACATTATTCGGACTGTTATCCTCATTTTGATTGCCATATCCACAACATTTCAGCCATTGTACACTCTGGCCTTCTTCAGGTGATTAGAATTTTGAACTGAACCCTTTATTTTGTCCACCGTGGTAGATTGTTCTAGTTCCACATACCATACCTCTTCTGGATGTCTCAGTTATTTCCTTTTAACTCAATTCCAAGTTTTGGTTCACCTGTAGCCAAGTATTAAACTCACAACTTATGGGGTTTAGTCACTGGATCTAACCAATGCATTTATCCATGTAATCTGCATATGAATTTTGGGACTTATAAATCTAACGTTTCAGTAACTGTTTTTTACCAGAGCTTCTAATGCAATTTTTTTTGTTATTCATTACTTTTCTCTAGCATTTCTTATTACTGGTTCCCATATTGTATTTATTTCTATGCTTGGCCAGTTCAGGAGATTTTGTGGCCTAGTATATGTGCTGATTCCTTAAATTTTCATATTTTCCAGTAATGAATCAAATAACATGATAAGGATGTGGATAACAGTTCAAATAATGTAAATAATGTAAGAAATATAATGCATTAAAATGATAAATATAACTACTTTTTTGCTCTTGAAAGAGAAAAATGTAAACAAATCTGAAAGAATTAAAATATGATAGATTGTATCTTTTAAGAACATTTACTTTATAGTTTAACAAATCTGCTTATATCTTATTTTTAAAACTAATATTTAATTTAGATTTTAAAATATTTTTAATTCAATGAAAACATAATTTTTTTTCTTAATAACTTGTAAATGCAAATGGAAAGTAAATGTCATTTTTCTTGATTTCTGACATTTATTTTGATTTATTTATAAAAGATTTATGTATAACTTTGCTGAATATATTAAAACTTAATCTAAAATATGTTAAACAAAATTTTTATTCAATCTGTGATATCACAGGTAGGATTTATATGTCAAAACTCTCATCCACTCTAACAATTACACATAGTGTGACACAAATTCTGAAAATTAAAGAAATCATTTATTTTTTTTAGTACTGTTGAAATTTGGACCTTGTCTTGCAATTTTGTGATGCAAGAAAATTGTAAAAACTAAATAAAAAATTAATTAAATTTTCCTTCTCTGCCATATATAATGAAAGATGTTTAAATGAAAAGTTGCTAACACAATATATAAATATATATAATTTTGTTTTTTGCTTACACCTCCTCCCCTTCTTGACTTCTGCAGCCATAGCTGAATAATTATAGTATAGTATGTTATCACAAACACTTACTGACCATCACCTGAAGAGACCTGATGGTTGAAACCAAGGTAGTGTGCAGTAATATAAGGTGTCTCTCCCATTTTATCATATATATATATATATATATATATATATATATATGATAAAGAACAAGGAGGAAACAGATCTTAATCTAACATGTTTCACTTTATTAAAGCTTCATCAGAGACCAAGATAAAAATGATAAAAAGCAAAGAGATACAGTTTAATGGTGTGTTGCATTTGACTATTTCTTATTGGTTAGATACATGTTATGAATAATGAAGTAACAGATAATATTCAAATATATGTGGAAAACATTCTAAAGTGTGTAAAGTTTAGTGAGACGCTGCAGGATGTTTTGAAAAGTTTTTCATTAAAGTGTATCTTGTGCATATTTTGTGTGTGTGTGTATATATAAGTATTTATTTGAAAATTATGACATAAATATGTTATAAAATCACTACAAAAATAACCATTTTTTCAACACTTCTGATGTCTTATCAAGTGATGGTGTTGAATGTAGAATAAAGGGTTTTAAAAGGTTCAAATCAATCAAACATCCCTCACTAGGGGAAACGCTATTACATAAGCTGCAATGACTAATCAAAATACAAGTATATGAGAATTCAAAAAACTTGACAACGGACTAAGGTTATAATAATTATTTAATGCTTTAGTGTTGTGGTTAGACTAAAATAGAATTTATTCTAACTAATAAATATTAAATTATACGATAAAATTTGAAATTAAAAATTACCAATTTTAAAATTTAAATTTAATCTATATTATTATACTTGGGTATATATATATCTAAATTATTATGCTTGGGTATATATATATCTAAATTATTATGCTTGGGTATATATATATATATATATATATATATATATATATATATATATATATATATATGATTATTACATATTTTTTGTAGAGATATTTTCTAATCAAATCAAATTCTTATAAAAAGATCAAACTAAATTAACTCCAATCTAAATTTTTATCATCAAGAAACAGTGCTTTATAACTGGTATGTGTTTACATATTTAATCTTTGTTTCCAAGCAGAGACTTGAAAAATTACAAGGTTGTCTTGACAAATGCTTAAATTGCTCTTAGTGTTGACTCAAGAGATTTCAGTTTACAAGATAATGGGATCTGGGCATTTTGGTGAAAGACTTAAAGACAAGGGGAGAAAAAATAATCATAAAATATTTTAATGAGAATGTTGCACAAAAAAAAAAGAAGGATTTTGGCTCAGTCCAGGCTATAAATATGGAAAGGTTAAAAAATACAAAGATGGAAGGGATAAAGTTCTAATTATGGCTGTCAATAATGAATATTTACTGAAAAATTTTCCAATTTGATTTGTGCCTCAGGGGAAAAAAATAATCAACAAGTTGATCAGGTAGGAAATGAAAGAAAAATAATAAAAAAAAAGCAAGATAGAGAAAGAAAGGTACATGTGTGTGTGTGTGTGTGTGTGTGTGTGTGGAAGTTGGGGATAAATGACAAGTATAGGCTAAGAGATCAGAAAAGGTGACTAATGAAATTCAGGTAAAAAAAAATGGAGGCTAATAATAGAAATAAACACAATATAAAATAAGCAAAAAGGAAAGAACTGATGCAAGTGATAAAGAGAGAGGAGGAGAAAGAAATAGAAAAAGGACAAAGAGAGGGTAAGTGGAGAGACATATATAGTAGAGGTGAAAAGAAAAAGAGGAGAGAAGTAAAGAATGGAGGGGAACAATGCAAAAGATAAAAAAATGTAAGGAAACATAATATAGTGGATAGTGGTTGAGGAACAGAGAGAAAGAGAGAGTAGGACAATGGAAGGAAAAAAAGGAGCAGAAATCATATAGAACAAGAAAAGAGAGAGAGCATAGAAATCATAGGGAATGAGGAGAGAGAGAGTGATCAGAGGGAACAAAGAGAGAAAGTAAAGGTAAGAGGGAACAAGGAAAGAGAGAGAGCATATTGAAACAAACAAGAGTGAGTAGGGATTGAAGAGATCAAGAAAAGAGAGAGTAGAAATTATAATGGACAAAGAGAGAGAGTAGAGATCATAAGGGAACAAAGAGAGAGAGTAGAGATCATAAGGGAACAAAGAGAGAGAGTAGAGATTATAAGGGAACAAAGAGAGAGAGTAGAGATCATAAGGGAACAAAGAGAGAGAGTAGAGATTATAAGGAACAAAAGAGAGAGAGTAGAGATTATAAGGGAAAAAAAAGAGAGAGTAGAGATCATAAGGGAAACAAAGAGAGAGAGTAGAGATTATAAGGAACAAAAGAGAGAGTAGAGATCATAAGGGAACAAAGAGAGAGAGTAGAGATTATAAGGGAACAAAGAGAGAGAGTAGAGATTATAAGGGAACAAAGCTAGAGAGAGAAAGAGAGTAGAGACTGAAGGGAACAAAGCTAGAGAGAGTAGAGACTGAAGGGAACAAAGAGAGAGAGAGAGTAGAGACTGAAGGGAACAAAGAGAGAGAGAGAGTAGAGCTTGAAGGGAACAAAGAGAGAGTAGAGACTGAAGTGAACAAAAAGAGAGTAGAGACTGAAGTGAACAAAAAGAGAGTAGACATTGTAGGGAACAAAATAGAAAGTAGAGGAACAAAAAAAGAAAAGTAGAGATCATGGGAAACAAAAAAGAGAAAGTAAAAGTGGAGAGGAATAAATGAAGAGAAAAGAGGTGAAATAAAATAGAAGAGAAGAGTGTGGAGATAAGAGAGAAGAAAAGAGTGAATGGGAGGAGAGTCAAAGAAAAGGATGTTGATAGGGCACAGAGTGTAGAGACAAACACAAATTTACAAAGTGTTAAAGGAAAAGAAAATAGAGTGAAAACTTGCTTTTAAGAGTGAGTGAGAATGATATTTTCCCCAATAAATTTTACTTACTGATCAAGAAAATAGAGAGGGGATATTCCAAATTAAAGAAATAAAAACTATTTTAAAAATTGCAGAGAGAATAACTATTATTCTCCTAAAAAAACTGTGATGCCCATATTGATGGTAATAATGGATATGTCTGCACATACGAACCAGACAACACTGAGGATTTTTATAGTGTGAAGCATGGTAAGACTTCCATTCTGATATTGTTTTAGTTTTTCCAAAACTTTGTTCCTGCCATAATGAAAAGTCATCTTTATGCCAGTAGGTTATAAATGCACATGTGTTTATTGTCTTAAGGGTCCTGAAAACTTTAGAAGACGGAGATGCCATATAGAAGACAGGGAAAATAAAAAAATATGTAGAATGATATTTTTTGCTTTTGAGATTATAATGGTCATTAGAAAATGGACACATGGCAAGTTCTAGTTATGTGATTGAAAGATGAAGTTTGCTCTGGGAAAAAAAAAAAAAAAAAAAAAACTAAAAATACAATAAATAAAAATCAAGCAAATTATTTTCAATATCAATTTTTTATGGGAAAATGATTAAATGGAAAATACAATACAAATTTACATTTGTTTATACACACACACACATATATATATATATAAGATATATAATTACATAACTGTATATATATATATATATATATATATATATATATATATATATATATATATATTCATTGTCTAGGCACACAAAAGTTGATATATGAAGATAGATATATACACATGTATGTAAAATGAAACAATATACTCGTATAATAAGGTAAAAAATAAAACTACAATATATAACAAAATGTATAAAGGAAAAGAAAAATAAAATACCCAAATTGGCTAAATACTGCTGTAATAAATTGCGAAATTCAAAAACAATTGGAGAAAAAATACAAAAATAAGGTAAAGTGCTGAATAACTTTGTAGACTCGTTGTTTACAGGTTTCTTTAATCAATGGAGAGAAAAAATAGAAAAAAAACTCCAAAATAGTTTTTGGGAAAGTGGTACACTTCCGGCAAATGTACTCCTTGGCATTTAGAAATATTTGCCACTTTCCTCCTCACAAAGCTAAAGAGCTCTTATATGGTTGCCAATAAACAAATATAAATTTGATTATAAGAGAAATCTGCACAAGATGAGAAAAGAATGAGAAGCTTAAATTTATTTTCCCTTCTTTATCCATCATCTTCTGATTGGTTCTAGCAACTTTATTTCTGTATTTATGTCTTTTTCTTTAACTTTTTTCTTGTTTTCTGATTGGTCTATACTTTTCTTTCACAGTTGAGAACAATTTTTTAAATTTGGTAATCATTAAAGCTAAATCTAAGGAATTTAAAAAACATATGCAAACTTATTTTGCCAAACTTCAGTTGTATCACAAATATATTAACTTATCAGACATTAATTAAACTCTTAACCTCATTGCCTGATTTAAAATCTGCTTAGCACTTGTGGTTGGTCAGACTCAGTGGTGGGACTGTAAACACAATTCCAATATGAGGTTATAGAAACATCATACTGTGTAACATGCTATAGAGATGCCTTGGTGTAGAGTGATGGTTTGCAAATCTTGTCTGGTTGACCATTACTATTGAGTAGTGAGTTCAATCTTTGCTAGGGACCCCATTAAAAAACCATGGTCATAAAACATACCAATCTAAGTCAGTATAGGGTAATAATCAACAAGGCTAATCTGGCTGTTCATTACTACTGCCCCATACAAATTTCAAAAGTGTTGAGTGTCATAATATATATATATATATATATAAGCCAATGTCTGTTGGTTTATAACCAAACATGTTAAACCTATATTCTAGTTAATATCTAAGTGTAGACCAGACATACTTTATGTATTTAGAATACATAATTCAAACAAAATTTCTCTGTAATATTGTATAAAAATAAAATTTCCTTTTTTTTTACTTAAATCAGAACTTTAGACAGTTTTTAGTGTATCTCTAGGTGAAATGGAATATCATTATTATATTGCAGTAATTTAAATAAATTTAAATATTTTCTTTAAAACTTCAATTTTGGTTTAGTTATTCATAAAAATTATTTTGAGACCATCTTTAATGTTTTTTTGTCATTCAAAATTAAATTTGATTACAACATGAATGATCTCTGCCAAGAGAAATAAGTGAACTGTAATTAAAAATCTTCCAAAAGAAATATAGTGATCAACAAAGGGTATTAATTTACTGATTACTTAATAGGATTTAAAAAAATTATTTCTTTTTATTCAAAGATGAAAAGCACAGAATTTTTCACAGCAGTTCAAAAGTTCAAATGACTGTTGAGCTAATTCTTTTTACCCAGTAGTGTAGTGATGAAACCCACTTCTAATGGGATTATCAAAGTATGGATGATCAACAAAAAAAAAAACAAAAACAAAATAGCAATAATACATTTCTCACATTAAAATAGCATCATATAATGGTCAACACTCTAATTTATATATATATATATATATATATATATATATATATATATATATATATATATATATAGTTAAACCTAGAGAGCCAGACAAACCTGCCAAGGTTTCACCTAAGCAGATCATCAGGGAAGGCTGGCTAAAAAGCACTTTATTTAGTTATTTTGCTTACTTGTATCAGGGTTTTTTTCTTTGGACTTGCATGCTAGATGATTATTTTCAGTTAATATACATGTTCTTGGCTCTTCCTTTTTTTTATACCTTTTTTTCCCTTTGGTATTGGTTTGATTATCTGCAAATCAAGACACCAAAGGTTTTCTGGACAAGTATAATTTCTTATACTTATAAGATTATTACTAGTGTGTGTGTGTGTATATATATATATATATATGTGTGTGTGTGTGTGTGTGTGTGTGTGTGTGTAGGGAAGAGGTTATTGTTGTTACAACAAGAGAAAAGTGTACATTTTAAAAAGAAGAGAGAAACTGAAAATGTTTTTGATTGTAATGTGGATTTTTAAAAAAAATATATATTATACTTTATTTTCCATAATATATACATATATGTGTATGTATATATGTATATATCAATTCATGGTAGGATAGACAGTAAATGTATTTGAAATTATGATGGCAAACAACAGTATAATGTTGCTCAGAAAGAAAAGATTAAGTATATCTAGTAAGAAATAAATTTCCTTCAAGAAGCAAGCGTTAGTTTTGATAGTAACACTTTCCTTATGCCCAAGATTAATTTGCATTTTCTTTGGAAAATATTTAGTGCTTATGAAACTAATTATGTTAACCAAATAGGAGAAAGCATTTCTGTGAAATCGTTTAAAAGTAAACTTAAGAATTTGTCATCAGAGCAAAAAGAAATGTTAAGTATAAGTAAAAGAATGAGAAGAGACCAAAAATAAATAAATAAAAAGAGAAACGATGAAGTTGATGATAAAAAAGGAAGATTAATTTTGATTATCACATCACAACCCAGACTGAAAAATTTATCATGCAACCTCATAAATGACATTTCAAAGATTTATGCATGTTGGTCATAACCAATAGTCATACATTGGAACAAATTCAATGATATGCATTAGAATAACTGATTTTTTTTTTTCTGTTTGGAACAAAAATGCAAACCAAACAGACCTAAATCATAAAACAAGACATTCTGTTATTCTGAGATCACCATGACTGCATCTCTCCACTAACAATGACAAAAGCAAATGCAAGGAAAAATATTTTGAGATATCTGGCACTCCCATTATGAATAAATGAAATGGAAAGAGGAGTTTAAAAAATAGAGATTGTATCATAAAATCTGTGAAGAAAAAGAATGTTTTATTTATGAATATATTAGATCATGCATAGAACAGTAACTTAAAATAATACTAACCATCCCTGCCTCCAATAACAGCAGAAAAATGCAAAAGGAGGGAAAACGAATTTTGAAAATCATTATTTAAAATAATAAGAAATGAAATCTTGCACAAGACAATTGAATAAAGTGTTCATTCTATGATGTGTACATATTCTAAGAAATATAGCAAATTTAGAACTGAATTAAAAGTTTATGACAGGAATTGAGAGAGTTCTTCATTTATATTTCAAAACAAAAATTTTATCTAAGTCATATATTTGGCCTCTTTGCTCAAAGAAATATTATTGTCTCACCAGGTTTTGTTTGTGATAGTAAAAATGTAAATCTTAATTGCAATCATTGACAGAAAATTATTAATTCAAAAATACTTAGAATTGTTTTTTAATGAGTCTTTCGTTTAGAATTAATAGGAACAAAAAGAATTTAAAAAAAAACAAAACAGAAAAAATAAAAATAAGAAAAGATTCTTTTTAGAAAAATTATAAAATAATACAATATAAAGAAAACTAAATTAATTTTTTTTGTCAATGGTAGAAAGACAAAAAAATCTGAATTTTAAATAAAAACTTTGATAAAATTATTCCATGTCAGTTACTTGTTTTCAGGTCAGTCGCTGATCAGAAGCATAAAAATGAAGAGTTCCAATAAAAGGGATGAGACAAAAAAAAAAAATGAAAAGATAAAAAAATAAATTTCTAAAACTAATTTACATATGCAAATTAGTTTCACTCCCTCACAGTTGTAACCCAACTCCAGAAGCTAAAACAAAAGACCTGAGCATGCGGGATTATTTCATACACATGCAATCCTGAAATTAAACTCATAACTTTTTCTCCCACACCCTGATGGAGATTTTCAAATGAATGCTACTTTAATTATACTGGAAGTTTTTTGTTTTGTTTTTTCAAACAAAGCAGAATTTTAAAAATAAATAAATTAATAAAAAACTTGGAATAAAATGATTATTTATATTGCCAAAATTTACATTTTAGCGTAACAAGTCTTAGTTTGAATTGGGTCTTTACAGAAGATTGCCCACAAAAAAAACTCATGCCAGATCAAAGGATCAACAACAATGCCATCCACTTCAAAACTGTAGCATCAATTTGCTAAATATTAAATCACTATCATATGAAG